TTTTTGCAGGAGCTTGACATCTCCTGTCATTTTAATGAATAGAGCTCCAATTGTGGAAAAGAGTATAACAATTATTTTGATGATGAAAAATACAGTAAACAGTAATATTGTGAAATATATAATGTTACAATTTAAAATAGCTGTCTTCTATGCAAATATATAGTAAAATGTAATTTATTCCTGTGATGCGCAGCTGTATTTCCAGCATCATTACTCCAGTCTTCAGTGTCACATGATCTTCAGAAATCATTCTAATATGCTGATTTGCTGCTCAAGAAACATTTCTGATTATTATCAATGTTGAAAACAGTTGTGCTGCACAATATTTTTGTGGAAAATGTGATACAATTCAGTCTTGGTTTAATTAAGATTAAAAAACATATAAATTAATATTTTTCTTCAACAAGGTTGGATTAAATTGATTTAAGTGACAGTAAATATATTTATACTTATTACGAAGTACTTATATTTCAAATAAATGCTGTTCTTTAACTGATGTCTCGTCATGTTTAGCTGCTTACATTAGCTCGCATTCAAGTCGTGCGCAGCTCAGCGCAGCATCTGTGAACAGTAAATCCCGCCTTCTACACTTTGATTGGCTATTTCAAACATTTTGACATTGATGAGCGCTTTTGAGCCGCTGCACTGAGAACGCTAAATTAATTAGAATTTTTGAATCAAGTGGGTCGCTCGGTGAGCAGGCAATTCGTCTCTGCCGATGGAAGGATATACGTACTTTTACTACAATTCATTTTTTATATATGTTTACGCAAAGGGCCGGCCCACATTGTACAGCGGCCCACCAGGAAAACTCCCGGTGCTCCAGATGGCCAGTCCGCCACTGAACGGAATAAATTGAAATGGAATAGTAACATACTGCATGCTACATGCTACACACTATATACTGTATTCTGCATACTATTTCCTTAAAATAAAGCAGTATGTAGTAAGCAAACAGTAAATTGAGCAATTTAAGCAGTAGTTGATCTTAGTTTGTACATGTTAAATTCTGCATAATACACAGTATATACTGTGTACTACTTACCATTTTTAAATGTAATGTATGTGAAGCAGTATGTAGTATTCTGTGATAATGGACTATTTAAACTGTACTTGTTTTAAGCTTGTGACACTAAAACAAATTCCTTGTATGTGCAAACATACTTGGCAATGAAGCTCTTTCTGACTTTACTGTAGTATGCTACAATGTTGTGACATGACCTTGCAGTTTTATATTAGTGCGACGCATTACCATCTCAGAACTAAATACAGTAAATTTGCATTTTTAATCCAATTTTGTATAAAACGATCTTAACTTTTGGCAGTCCACAAAGTACAAGTTGAGATTGCATTTGATATCGCTCGCCGTTCATTCATCACTGTCTGGCTTTTGTAATGAAATGGAAGGTCAAGTGGAGCTTAGTTATTTCAGTATTAGATGCATACAGAACATTTGCATACCATGCACAGTATACTTCACTTCTAGTAGGAGCAGTATGGTAAGTGTGGTTATATGCAAAGAGATTTGGGGTCATAGTGTGAGGAGTGATTTGTATTAGCATTCCTCAAAAAAAAGGCTAGAAGAGCTGATATTTGCGGAAGCAAGGGAGGCGGTTAGTCTAGTGGGATTAGCATAGCAAAAGGAGCAAGATGCAGTAAGTAAGGGTGCAGTCTCTGCAGGCGGGTGTTAGCACCTGTCTGGTCGTAGTCATCACCTGTTCCACTATGGCAGTTGGCCTGGTCATCATCACACTCGTCTGATGGCGCGGTAGAGGACGCGGGTGTAGTAGGGGGCACTGTGGGAACTAGAGTGAGAGAGTCAAAGATAGAGAGAAAAAGATATTCATTATTCATGAAAATACAAACTGTGACACAGCTTTAACAAAATAAAGTGACAAGTGATGAATCACCTCGCTTCCCAAAAAACCATGGCAGCACCAGGGTACGTTTTCATCATTTTTAAAGGTGATTACTGAAAGTCCAAAACCACGTACTTCTATGGTATTTTTTGTACGTCATTCCACAAATCATCTTAATGATTATGCTCTTTCTGTAGTCTTTCCAAGTCTGTAGCCCTTTGATACGGGCCTGTGCGTGACTCTGGCTGCAGGGTTGAGGATGTTATGCTCCACCCTGGGCCGGTACAGCTCGCTGAAACTGCTGTGCATCCTCTCATTATGGCTGCCTGTGCCCCTTTGGATGTGGCCTTTGCCTACATCTGCCTAAAGCCCTGTGTTTACTCTCAGCTTGTAATGAGCTGCCCTTAAGCCTGTAGGGCTTTCCCGGGATAGAAGGAGAGGAAAAAATGAGCATGGAGGGAGAGGGGGAAACGGGAGCTGTAGTGGAAGTTGCGCGGGTGAACTGAGGGCATTTTAAAGAGAGTCTCTAAAGCAGAGGGGTCACAGCGAGGTCACCGTGCTGGCTCTGGACAGCATTGTTGATCGCATCGCACACTCCTGCTAGGACTTAGCGCCCTGCTGTTAGGAATGCGTATGGGTTCACTTGTTTGATTTTGAGGGTTTAGCTAAGACAGAGAAAGAAATGGGGTGAATTTATATACACAGTGTGGACAGGCATTAAAAGTGAAATCAAGCATTATCATCCGACTAAAGCTCCCGGTGGGATGCTGTGGCTTACACAAGCAAGTCTCACAGTCGCTCAGAAATCCAATATGTAAATCCACTTAACGCTGCCTCAACAGAAAACACACACACACCCCATCAGAGCTAAACTAATTCAGAAGGAAAGACAGAGGGGAAGACATAAAGGACCTTTCCGTAATCCTTCAAGGCAGGTGGACCAAAGATTATCTCCAGCTGTGAGGGGCCCTGTTACTTAGGAGTGTCACAGGCCCCTGGTTTTCTGGGTTGGAGACATCCTTTGATGCCACATCTGCGGGACAAGTAATTATGAAGAAAGCTAAGCCGTACCCTATCCTGTCCTCTTGAGTAGATAAGTCCAAATTCAATCAAATAGCATCTGTACTATAAGACCACACACTTGAGGACCTTCAAATTCCTTTAAGATCAAAGGTCTATTTGTTTGTCTTTTGTTCACTTGCTTTGGACAATCTGTCTTTGACTTGCTGCAAGATTGTCCATTATGTGTATGAATCGCTGTTACTTTGAAAACGATTGTTGGAATAAGCAACACGCTACACTAGCCTAAAGTTACACTATTTGTAAAACAGCAGAGCAACTATTAATGTGACTGAAAATGTAGTCAAAGGGATTGTTCACCCAAAAATGAAAATTCTGTCATTAAATACTCACCCTCATGTAAGACCTTCATTCATCTTCGGAACACAAATTAAGATATTTTAATGAAATCCGAGAGCTTTCTGACCCTCCATAGACAGCAAGGGAACTACCACGATCAAGGCACAGAAAAGAAGTAAGGGCATCGTTGAAATAGTCCATGTGACATCAGTGGATAAACCGTAATTTTAGGAAGCTACGAGAATACTTTTTGTGCACAAAGAAAACAAAAATAATGACTTTATTCAACAATTTCTTCTCTTCCGTGTCAGTCTTTGACACACGTTCACGCGTTTTGGTACTCTCGTGAATGGTGGAGGAGACTGACCGGAAGACCGGAGACTGACTTTGCGCACAAAAAGTATTCTTGTAGCTTCATAAAATTACAGTTGAACTACTGATGCCACATGGACTATTTTAACGATGTCCTTACTACGTTTCTGGGCCTTAAATGTTGTAGTTCCCTTGCTGTCTATGGAGGGTCAGAAAGCTCTTGGATTTCATCAAAAATATCTTAATTTGTGTTTTGAAGATGAACGAAGGTCTTGCGGTTTTGGAACGACATGAGGGTGAGTAATTAATGACAGAAATGCTTCTAAACATTTTTGGGTGAACTAACCCTTTAAGTCAGTAGCATCCCTACTTGAGTACTCCTCAGTAGTGGTATGAATGTGGGGTTATCTGTGTGTCTGTGAATGAGTTTTCAACTTACCTTCCATTTCACAGCCCAGGAGTTCCAATCTAAGTCCCATCCCAGCAGGAGTGGCTCTGTCTGGGTACACCCTAACAAAGCGTGTCAATATAGGCTCCACCGTCCTCAACACTGGCGTGTCATAGTTCAAATTCCCCTCAAATATCTGCCAAGAACAACGACAGAGTCAGAGACAATAGTTGGCAGTCAAGCAGAGAAAGAGAACTTGGAAAGACATAAATGGGAAAAGATAAAGGTGAAAGCTTTATTAAGAGTATCCCAAAAGTTAGTCTGACAGGGAAAGCAAAGAACAGAGCTTTAATGAAAGAGAACGAGTGAGAGGGCACGCAGCTCACACCTTTCTTAACTTGGGCACTGTTGTATTTCTAATGCAACAAAGCACTGGAGAAAAGAAAGTCTTCAACTTTACTTCTGACATTGTACGGCTGAGCTAGCGCAAAAAAGAAAGGCTGCGGGCTAACACTGTAGTCTACGACAGCAGGATGCACAGGCTTTCAAAAGCATCTGCCTTTGACTTCACACTTCTGAAGCCTTAAACCCCAGACAAGAGGTACCACAGGAGACAGACAGAAAAAAGGAAAGAAAGACGAAAAGACACTCGCCAGAGGTAACAAAGGTACAGAACAAGTCGAGAAGTCATGAAAGTACATTAATGGTTTTTAGAGCTAATGTGTCTCCTTTTGTCCTTCAAACTAAGGCAGAGATATAAGGGTTTTAAAAGGGGTCTTTTAGGATTGATATTCCAATCCAGCTTTTTGATAGGGGATAAGGCACATAGTCTATGTTCTACAAAAAAGTCACACATTTCATGTATTTCACGTACTGTAACATTTCTTTTGAAATTTGTCTGTTTTCACTATGATCGCAAATTAACACTATACTGTTATTTTGTTTTGGTATTATGACTGTTTTTAGGATTAAGATTATTAGTAGTATCGTTGAATGCATTTGGGATGTTTGCCCAATATTGTACTCACAGCATTAGTCTAATTATTATCATTCTCTTCTCTGTCCATCTAAAAGGCTTCGGGAAGAATACATTATAGCTCCACGTTCAACTTTCTTAACACATTTCCTAAAATCAGGCTAAACAAATCTCAGACTAGCGCTTAAGAACCTCATAGTGATTTAAAACTATTCTAAATGTACAACCAGTTTATGTCTAACTACCTTCCAGCTTCCCTATATCTTACCTTGGGCTTGTTGCCAGTAGCATCCATCACCATTTTCCAGTCAGATCCATTGTTGCTGTAGCCCAGCCGAAACTTCTTCATGAATACCTTGTTATCACGGTGTTTGCCTCCCTGGATGATCAACCCTCGGAACAGTTTCTCCTCACCCAGATCTATCTGCAGCCACTCATCCACATACGGCTGGGGCTGCGGCAACAACGTCCATCCCGAACGGCTGGTCAGAAGACGGGCATTCTCTGAGACCCATGTGCGCTCGGTGTGGGACGAAACTGTGATCTGAGAGTCTGCGATAAGGCCTGAGACCATTCCCAGCATTCCAGAACATGGGTACTCTGTTGAAGGACAAAGAGAGTATTAGATTCAAGGAAGTTTCGAACCCTTCACTAGTGACTATCCTGAGATGTGACATGAAAAGCAGCAGACAGAGAAAAATGTATTTGCAGTCAAATGTATTGGCCATCAAAGGAGAAAGATAATTATGGACCCAAATTGTGTAGTTTTGGCATCTACCAGCAGGGGCTAACAGGGCCATGCTAACCAGCCAAACCCTTATCCCTCGGTTAGACTGTTATCTAACCTGCCACTGCTGTGGCAAAACAAATGTACCATTATTTGTCATTCCAATAAAACTCACGGACGCAGAGAAAGAGAGGGTTGTTTGAGAACATAGTGGAAGAATTGAATGATAATTGAGGGACGTGTCTACAAAAGATTAGATTAGCTGTGAGTGGGTGAGTCTGAGAGGAAGAGAGAGAATGGAGAAGAAAAAAAAATGATGTTGGCTGATAAACCTGGTAGAAATGGTCACATCTCAGTGAGCTGGGAAACGTTCTTACCAACAACCTAAAGAGGTCACGGGCCATAAAGAGGCTGAACAAAGAGAGAAGGAAAGACATTCATTGCACAGGAAAGACTGATGAAGTGGACAGAAGAGATAAGAAACCTCTTGTTCTCTTTGTTTCTCTCTCTCCATCTTCCTTTCACCACTGACCTTGTGCATTAACTCCTCTGCCTCTTTTTCTCAAGCTACCTAATTAAAACCTTTCTCTAGTGTATGTACCTTTCATTTCTAAACAGTTTCTCGCTCTTATTCTCAATTCTGCTCCACTCTTACCTTCCTTTTGTTTTTAATATGCTTTCTTATTCACCTTCCTCAAATCTATCCCTTCATCCGTCTTGTAATCTGTCTTCATCTCTCCAAACTGGCTTCCTTTGTTCCAGCATTGATAATAGGGTTTTTCACGCTTTGCAACTTGTAGGCAAAGGCAGGTTGAGGGAAATTATCAGACATGCAGCACTGACCGACTGACTGTGTGTTGCCTGTCATGACTTTCGTACCTTCTCTGACGCATTGGGACCTGCCAGCGATACCATAATCTACGATCATCACCCGTGGAGCAGGAAAGCATCAGAGACAATCTTGGACTAGTCACAGATGAACCTAATGTCCCGTGAAATACCACCAGAACAGAGTTTTCATTCACAACAGTGCCTTTGTACTGATGTAGGGAACTTCCTCTGTAGTTTTGAAATGGAAAGAGCACTTGTCTGTGACCCCTTCAGAAACTGCAGAGCATCCAAATGTGAGTTCCATTCTCCTAAAACAACAAATGCTCATGACTTTGATTTTTCCATTGTTTGTTTGTAGATGTACAGCCAGGGTTGGGTTTATTGTAACCCTGCCAAATTTGGAAAATGCCGTGCCAAATTGTTTTGGGACCTGAATGAAAAAAGATCTTCACTGAGGTGGTTGGACCTCAAAGTTTGGAAGTCAACCAAGTTTATTTTCAATCCACTGGCTGGCACTGTCATCAGGACCTGTTTATGGATCTCAGATGGGGATGTATGGTAGAAGCTCCTGGTGTGGTAGACCCTGACAGACACACCCTGAGGGTGAACTGGTCCATGTGTATCGCGTGTTTCCTCTGTTGGCTTGGTCTGTGCACAGCACATAAAGGCTGGATGACCACACACACAGATGGTTTTATTTACAAACAGCGGGAGGAAGTTTATTAATGGATGTGTGGATGTGGAAAGCCTATCAGACCTGAACAGTGCACAAGACCACCTCTTAACTGCCGGCAGGCATCCTCTGTTGGTAGTGTCAAGGTACAGCGCTTACAAACATAGTGCCCAGGAATAGAGTTTGTGGCAGTACCTTGATAAAAGTGATATGCAACTTGGTGAAATGGTATCAGATGGTAATATCATGGTACTTTTAATACTTACCATGGTAATGAATGGTTATCATACTGGTACAAGTACATGGTCTGCTTATATGCCTTGGTGCAACCATGGTAAAATGGTAATAGTATCACTTGATAATACTTTGGTACCTTGATAATAGCACTTGTACCTTGCTACTAAAATGATGGTGTTTCTATGGTACTCATCGGGTACTTTCAATGTTTTTGGACATGTACCATGATATTCTGGGTAGTACCATGGTCAATGTGCAAAAGAGTATCAAAGTATATCTTCAAAATATGTTTAACCTTGTCCAAAAAACATACAGTAGTAATACCATGGTACTCATTAGTAAGATTCTTGGCCACATCATCACAAGGGATCCCGATGCACACTGATGATGTCACTGGGAGGCCTCCGCTCTTGTGATGTGTTTAGAATGCGGTCTGTTCACCCGTCCAAAACACGACTGCAACAGCTGCGCTCCAGAACTGCGGTGAACCGCACACATACACACACACAAATATACAACCAGTGCTAAATCTGTGTACACACACAGACTCTAAAAATAAGCCCCTATGCATGCTGAACGTATAGCTGATAGACGGCGTATGATGGCAAACACGCTCGCCCTCCTCCTACACATATGAGGAAATGTTCTCAGCGGGGAGTCGCTGATGATATGAAAGCTTTTGCAATCAAAGCTCTGTAGGGTGGAGCCATGTCAAAACATGCAGATGAGTATGCAAATGAAGACAGGGCCAGCTGGGCCTGACTGTGGCTGGTGGGTGTAGATCTCGCCGTGTACAATAGCATGTGCAATATGTGCATCTGTGTGTGTTTGAGAGAGAGGCTGAGAGGTTAGAGCTCGGGGGAGGAGGGTAGAGGCAGAATTGGGGTAGAAGTGGAGAGGTTGCAGCAGTAGCCGTGCACGCTGTGCATGCCATTAATTTTGAATGAAGTACATCCAAACATGGGGAAACATGAATACACGGTCCTTTTCGTTGACGTGAACACTTGTCTATAACGCAATAGCTCCTCCAATATTGCACATGCACGGTTTGCACATGGCTTTCAGAGGCATGAATAAACACTTCTCCATACGCCTGCCTCCAAAGCAAGCAAAATGTAAACTATTTAATTGAAAGATTATGATGGAGTGGTGTGTTGACAAAACCCAGCTTCTGAATCTGAATTAACACTCTGCTTCTAAACATTTTTGATGTATGCCAGTTGTGCCGTTGACAGATTGTGTTGGAACCAACCTGAGATTTTGCATCCATACACCTCGAAGCGCAGGGCGATGCCGGTCTCCCAGGAGTAGGGTCGGATCCGGAGGTATCGCGTCAACGTGGGCTTGGGGAACATGGCTTTCGCTGCATCAGTAGGGTTGGTGTTCCCTTGGAAAATCTGACAAACGAAGAACAAACACATTAATTATTAACATGGTTTGTTTAGGCGAGTCACCAAGGACAGACCTTTGAGGCTTGGGACTCACCTAACACTGTGCCCCAGAAACAGAGACAAATGACAGGAATGTGTTTAGATCAGTGGCTTCAAATGTGAGAAACTAAATAGAGCATTAGATTATCTGTGGAGCCAACTGGGTAGCAATACAAAGGCCACTTTGTGATGTCAGAGTCTGGGTTACAACTAGTGCTGAATGTTTTTGACGCTTCAGTTACACAATGGTTTCTGTTGTTGTTGCAACAGACATAGCGATGAATCAGATTGTGTTATGTCCATATGCACTGATTCTTGCTGACAGCTAGCACATGTTCTCTGTGAAGGGAGGATCTGGAAATGTGTCGAAGGAAGACACAATTGTTAAAAGAAAGACTAATTAAAGCAAAGGCAACCTTGTTGTTCATAGTATCTTGTTTCACAGGTCACGATGTAAAGGTCAACAGGTTTTTAAGTACATCTTGAAAGATCTCTCTTTTACTTCCTCAGTTTCAGATTTTTTTTTTCTGAATTGCGAGGAGAGTTAAGAATGAATTGCACTTGCTGTTTTTTCACCTGATTCACTAAAATAATTATGCAAATTTGAATACTAATGACTTCTGACCTGTTGGGTAAAAAGCCCATAAGTTATGTAAGATTGTGTCCTTAGTGATCAGAAACATTTATAATTTTCAATACACAATTCTTCATAAGACTTTACAGTTGTTCGAGCATTGTTGTCTTTTATTCAGTGTCCTTATAGACATTACTTCAAAGAAACAATCAGGCATTACTACAGGATGCTCAAACCCACAGTCTGATTTCTGGAAAATTGATTATTGTTTATTTCGTGTTCCTTGTTACATACATGCATATTCTGTATTTATTTTAATTGCTAAAACAAAACAACAACAAAAGAAGCTGATTTTCAAGTATTCATGTACTTAAATTCTTAAACACTTCATGGAACCCACTTGTGCAAACCCTATTAATCATTTTGCTGTTGCCACCAAGCAACAGGTCAATCTAGACCACTTGCTACAGTACTGATTTTACCCTGGTTAAGGGGGTTAACCCTCTATGAATGGTAAAATCCCTGCAATGCACAGCCTCTCTCTTAGCATATTGCTTTAATATCAATACGTTCAACACAATTGTAAACTAGACAAGGTCAAACTGTAAGCCGTACAGGATGGCCAAGTGTTGCTAAGCCCCAGTCAGGGCATACAGCCATCCGTCTATCCCAGAATCCATACTGCTAATCGTGTCCCTGGTCACTACTTGTCAAAACGTGTGTGTCTGGGAGGGGACACATGAGGAGCCATCCACTATCTTTAAATGTCACGCCAATGCTCTGCTCTACTGCTCTAAGTAGTAAAAAGGCTTTCCTTTGTGCAACAACCCCGCAGCCGAACTGCTGTTTCAGCAGTCTGTAAATGGGCCCTCACCTCACAAAAGCACTTTAGAGCCAGGCAGACAGAAACAAGGCACCGCACCTTAAAAATGCAAGCTCTAAAAAGAGAACAGTGTACTTTAGTTGAGGGTCGACACAGAAATTGGGCCTTTGGGTATATTTAAGCTCACTGTTACTTCCAGGCATGAAGATGTGTACGCACATAGACACACACACACACACACACACACACACACACACACACAAACACACACACAAGCGTCTAATTGGCTTGCTGAGCTTGACAGGTCTATTTCAAACCTTATATTGTTAGAGTCTGTCAAGCAGACGTAAACATGCATATGAGCGCATCTTGCACTCACAAATGAGTAAAACAAAATCATAAACTTCATACACTGGAAGTATCTCAAAATCTATGAAGCTGCCTACAGAGACAGAATCTTTGGTTCAGGTAAATCTCACAATGCCCAGTTCACATTTCTGACAAAAATCAAGTGAAAATTAAAATGAAATTGCATTTTGAAAGAAAAGTTGTTTTATAATAATTTCAGATTTGCATTGTGACTATTTTAATGAATTAAGTAAGTAATTATAATTATATTAAAGTAATTATATTAAAATATATCATGTTTTTTCACATTCCAGCTGATTTGTTTCTTGAAATTATGAAATTCCTGTAATAATTTCAATTTGGGGAGAAAAGGTTGGGGGAAAAAATTTTACATTTTGTTTTTATTTTTCTATAATGGCATAAACTATGATCTGGACTTGTCCTTGACAGGTTTTATGAGGTTCATTCAGATGCTTTTCATTGTTCTTTTAGAACCTGTCTTGGCTATATGATCCCCAAAATGCTGTCTGGGTAGGTAGCTCACTAGGTTTTAAGACAGAGCCCATGTGTCAAATGTAATAGGCATGTCTTCCTGCAGTTAACTTTTCTGTGCTGAGGGACACATTTCACCCGATGGCTAATCGATCAGCGTCTCCTCGGTCCTCATTCAATCCTTCATGTGCTCAAGTGCGTCCAACCAGCTGTTCAAACACTCTAAACCTGATAAACCTTCTCCTTCTCTCACTCTCTCCATTTGCGACTCTGTTTATTAACTCTTTTGTTCTTCCTTTCAAGGAAAAAAGCCCTACCACAAATGTTGACATCATTCCTTAAAAGGAAAAAGAAAATCAGTCAGACTACTGTGGTGGCTTTGGAGTTGGAGTTTTTACAGAGCTTGCAAATTCAGTCTTTTAAGAGGGCGGATTAACATACCACACTGGGCACATGATGGAGTCAGAGAAACACAAGCCCTGCAGAACACATGAGCGTGGCGTTCCCATCTGGATCTGGAGCATGGATTGGTGTAACGGAGGCACACGGTGACAGCGCTACAATACAGGAAGATGTTTACAGGGCTTCCTGCCAAGGAGTTCTGGAAATGTACCTAGTTACAGATTACTTCCATGTTAGGCTGAGAAAATAAAAGCTTCTTTATCGTTTAGCGGAAAGTGAGCTGTACGGAACCAAACTTGATCTTCTACCAGGACTTTCTAACACTATTTCATTGTTATATGAAAATGCAACATTTAACTGTTAACGGAATGTTCCAGGTTTAAAACAAGTTAAAGGGTTAGTTCACCCAAAAATGAAAATTAGCCCATAAATTACTCACCCTCAAGTCATCCTAGGTGTATATGACTATTAATGATCAATATATCAAATTATTCAATGCATATTGAAAATATACAGAATAACATATTGTGCTAATATATTACAACATATTTATGGAAGCCCATTTCCGCCACGTAAGAAAAAAATTCATGCCTTAAAAAGTCAAAATTATGATATACTTAAGTCATAATTACGAGATAAAAAGTCGAAATTATGATTTACTAAGTCGAAATTATGACTTTAAAAGTCATAATTACGAGATAAAAAGTTGAAATGATGACTTACTAAGTCGAAATTATGAGCTAAAAATTCAAAATTATGAGATAAAAAGTCGAAATTATGACTTTACAAGTCGAAATTGACTTAATGGACCCATATTCAAAACGTAATAATCACTTTAATGTAGCTTGCGCCAGCAGTTGTACACAGAAGCAGCTCCGGGCGGATGATGTATGAGGTCGGCTAATGTTCATTTTTGGGTGAACCCTTTAAGCTTTATCAACCACAGAAAATCCTTTCGACTTGTTGTTTAGTTTAAAAACAAAAAAACAAAAAACAAATAAAAACTGTGTTTACACTGGATGTCTATAGTTCAAGGCATTTTGGAGAGCTTAAAAGCATAAATGTGCACGTTGTATTTTTGTTAAAGTTCTTATAGCAATTCTTCCATACGACTTTTTGTTTCTGAGACCCGACATGCTAACATTGGTTTAATCAGTGGTTCTCAACGAGTTTCAAGATGACTTAAAATGATCTTAATTGGCCCCCTCAACAAGTTTATTTATTGTTTGATTGATTGATTGATTCAATCATGGTTCCCACTGTCTTGGAAAACCTGGATATATGAAAACTGTCATTTGTAGACCTGGAAAAGTCATGTAAATCAATTAATTCTTGACATTTTAAATACATTTAGTTATGCCAAGCTCTAAAATATTTTAAAATATACAGTAAAAACCTCTTTAAATATCCAATCCAGTAAATCATGAACAGAAGTCATGGGGCTTTGAATATTGTTGTGGATAATGGTGGATCTTGAAGTCAAAAAGGTTGAAAAGCACTGGGTTAAATCAGAAAAGGGATGCATTGCACCTTTAAGAAGGACCATGAAAGGAAGCAAATAAGTCACCTTCTGTTTTGGGCCATCCTTAATAGTTATCCAGTCTTCTCCGTTTGAGCTTACATCCACCTTGTAGGACTTCACATAATATTTCTTGTTGGTCTCTTGAGAGATTGCTCCCTGTGTGCCGATCGCCGAGACAAAGCGCAGGAATCCAAGATCAACCTGAGGAGAGAGAGAACAATATTACTTCTATATTACTCCGAACAGAGGGAGTATCACTTTAAAAGTGGCTTATCGGGTGTCACATATTGGGCTCATAAGACCCCAGGTGAATATTAGAATGAAAGATTAATTTTAATGAATCCCAATTTAATAAAGCATATTCGATGTGATGATTTAATTTCCTGAACGGGAGACAAGAGCTTATTGGATGAGGAAGGATATTTAACTTCATAGAGCCTGTGTCGGGGAAAAAATTCATTTGAAAGGAAACGTGTATTTCAGACGTGTGCCGTATTGAAAAATGAATGCTTCATAAAGAAGTCATGAGTTGTGATGTCATTCCCGTGAGCGTGCGGTGAGTGCGTCTGAGAGGCAGTCAGGAGAGTGTGGTCAGGGGTTACTGGAAGAGAAAACACTGTGGACAGAGATGTGGGTGATTTGGTCATATCCAGGATTATCAGAGCTGTAATACACAGGATAGGATGTGGGGGTATCTCATTAATATCTCATTTTTGTTATGCAAAAGAAAAAAAATTGAGATCTTTGAGCAGGATTCAGCCATTTGCTTCCACAGCATATACTGAGCAAATGGACAGTGAAAAGTGCCAAGCAGAGGTTTTTGGGGAGATGCTTTAGTGCTCGGAGAGGCTAAAAAACCTGCCATAATCTGAAACTAATGTCATCCCATACAACATTTTCAAAAAATGTCACTGGTGAACAAACATTTACAGTAGAGCTAAGACAATGTCAGCGGCACATAGCCGTCAGAGCTAAAACTAGCTAAAAATGCAGGATAACATCCATGTAGTGGATCTGTTGTAGATACACTAATCATCACCAATACCAGCTTTTCATTAAATATCATATTCCTTTTGTACTCAACATGAACTAACATAATGGTTTTGCTAGTCTCAAACTCAATTAGTGAAGAAAGTGCTAATTGCAAACTCTGTCTGTTCCCTATTGTGCAGCATTTGTACATCCTGACTCAGTTTAACGATATTAAAATCTGATTTGATCTGGCTGTGCTAAAATATACATGGCAGGAAGATAAGAGAGCTGTGGAACAGCCAGCGATTTGAGATCAGAAAGCTTGGCTGGAGAAGAGACAGTCTGGATCAGTTTCCCTCACACCAGCTGATCACAGATCAGAACTAATGAGCGCCTCGTGATTTATTAACCACTTTCTGCTTCAAAAAGACAAAGAGAGGGAAAAAAGGGGGAAAGAAACTAAAAAAAGGGGAAAAGAAACTGATGAAAAAAGCGAGCAATTCCAATACATTTTACTACAGTAATCCTTCATATACTGTATATAAGCCTTACAGCTTTCCCAAAGAAAATATATTTCCTTACACTCTAAAAAATGCTGGGTTAAATACAACCCAGCGCTGGGTAAAATATGGACAAACCCAGCGATTGGGTTGTTGATAAACGGGACATTCTGAAACGAGTTAATTTGGCAGTTTGGGGGACCAAGTTCAATTTACACCTTATTAATAAAGCATATACCATTTACAGACAAGCAGAATATAGCCCAGAATATGAACGCAACACGCTGAGTTGCACGTTAAGCATTTTATATCTCAAAACGTTATGACTGTTTATCTCGTAATTATGACTTAAGTCATAATTTCAACTTTTTATCTCATAATTTTGATTTACTAAGTCATAATTTCAACTTTTTACCTCGTAATTATGACTTTTAAAGTCATAATTTCAATTGAGTAAATCATAATTTTGACTTTTTATTTCGTAATTATGACTTAAGTATGTCATCATTTTGACTTTTTAAGGAATTCATTTTTTTCTTACGTGGCGGAAATGGGCTTCCATACATATTGTATGATACATAAGGAATTGCCACTTTACTTATATATTTACTTATATATCGTGATGACATTTTATATTAAACAATGCACTTGATAATATACAGATGTACATGAATAATAAATAAATAAATATTGAGAAATTACTTGAGTTTTTTAATAAAGCTGTTAAATGTAAAAGTTTAGTGCAGTTTTTGTCCTCATTGCTATATATTTTTCATATTTATTAGCATGGTCCATGCATATATTGCAGTATATTGAAAAAATATAAGCACTGGTTTCCCAAATATGCAAATGATTATTTGAATACTGTCTATATATTATATACTGTATGTATTATTTTATATTTTTATGTATTACAACCAGTCAAATTTGAATTTCTACAAAAATTGTGATTGTTTTCAAACAGGTTTCCTAAATACTCTCCCTGTCTGCCATTGGTCGACAAATAAGTTAATTCTGCTTTAAACTCACACCATTGGTTAAGCTGTTGCTATGTCAGGCTGGTTAAAGGCAGAGTAAGTGATTTCTGGTAGCCAATGTTGATATTCTGGAAAGCTGATCCGATATTTACACAGGTCCTACTTATTGCCTTATCGTTCTGCAGACGTTTTCCTCTTTTGTTTTTTATCCGCCATCTCTATCTTTCTGTCGCTCGGCTCGGCTAATGTCCGTCCCATGCACTGAAAGCTCTCTCCTCCACATCACGAGTAGACACGCCCCTTATTGCTGATTGGCTACAAGTTTGTTTTGCTGTTCGGCCCGAATCAGTTTTCTAAAGTGTTTTTGAAAAATCACATACCCTGCCTTTAAGATTCTTCAACAAACAAAGCAATGTTTTGAATGCAGCACAGAATCACAAAGTGTATACTTTCCAGAGAAATTAACCTACGAATGACTTACTTATAGCTGTCTCTGCTTATTAAACTAAGATAGGAAAGAATATTTTAACATCAAGAAAAAAAAAATCACACACTTCACCTTTAAAAGCAAACAGTACAAACAGGAGATTAAGGGAAAGCCCCAGTTCCTCATGGGAACTCCCTGGCTGAGAAACTCCACTTTCTGGCTTTCAGAAAACAAGCCATTCCAAAAGTGTATCACACTTCCTTATAAGGAGACAGGCCAGACTTGACTGTGGGCATTTCATCTGTAAAATCATGACCACAGAAGCAAAAACAATGATGAATTATATCATTTTTGGTAAGAAAATATTTTTACAGTTGAAACCACACAGACATTTGAATTGACATTTGAGGACTTCTGAAGTTGCCAAATTATTATATTAGTCACTAGTGTGACTGTGCAGTTTTATAACGGTCAAGCCAATTTAAAGTCTGCTGCAACCACTGTGAGAAAGTGTTCAAACCGGAATCCATATGACTCCAGAGGAAAATGTGTCCTCAAGCCAGCTGACTCTGCAAAACATATCCTCTGCTTGTTATTTTGAATTCTTCTCCATTTCTACTCTTTGTTTTATTGGATGTTGCATGTTGTTTAAGTGTCTAAATATATCAATAGACTAATAAAATAATGCATTTCTCATTATATCACATCCTATGATCTAAAATGTGAAGTAAAAAAAAAAAAAAAAACATTTCATGAATGTATCTTGCTGGCAAGAACCCAAATGTAACTACGTTTTCATAATTCTGTCATGGGAAAGTCTGGTATGTTAAAACTTGTTCATTTTGCCCAGAGTCCATCTGTGAAGTATGGACCTCAGCTTAATTTTCAGAGCTAATTAAATTTACAAAGAGTGTGTGTTTTATTACACCAGAGCCTGTGTGTGTGTGTGTGTGTGTGTGTGTTGGAAGGGACAGTTCTTGCCTTGCCCTTGGCTTGCATAGAAGGAAGTGGCAGAAATCTAATCTGCCTAAACCTAGTGCAAAACTCACTGAAGCTTCTCGTGCTAATTGCGTTGAATTAAACAAGCGTCAAACATGTCTGCCTGTTTCCTAAAGCTGTGACAGTTGTGTTCATCCTAGCATGGGCTTGTTATGGTGTTTGGTGGCTGTTTCAACAGAGTGTTTATTTTGCTTTATGTGCTTGTAGGAAGTTGATTACACAGGATTTTTTCAGTGTTTTTCTTAAAACAATTTGTCATTTGCGGTTCTTCGTTTTCTGGTCTGCACAAATAAAGCATCGTGCATTAATATTTTTCTTTATTCTGTCTATTTTCTTGTCTCTTTCACCCTTCTCTTGCATATCAGTGGACAACAAAAATTCACAAATTGGTCAATCATTAAAACCACAACTGCTCTTGTGTGTCTAAGGCTCAAACGCCATATGGTGCAGGTTAGCCAGGAGGAACTAAGACGTTGAGCAGACAGATGCGCGATGGCCCAGTCAAAGCAAACACAAATGTGGGACGGCAGGTTTCGCAGGGCAAAGTTCTACTTCATCCATCAAACTGTGGCTTCCTCCCACCATCCCATCCCACGACACCTGGTTGCTCCGAAAGCTCCTCTAAAATTCCATTAACCACAGGTATAATTAATTCACATTTTCATGAAAATTGTATTACTGCCAGCTGAGAGATCTATAGGCTCCTCGAAGACCTCACATTTATCACCCAATTTACCTAGTGGAATTAGCTGGAGTTATTTTTAGAACTTTTTTTTATCATTTTTAAAATTATGCATGTGCCTGAATGGTGATCATGTGCTTCTCTTTCCTTAACTTAATCTAATAGGTGGATGGTTTGAAAGTGGGACGAATATTTAAAACACACACACACACACACACACACACACACACACACACACACAGAGAGGAAAAGAGAGAAAATTATATCATTTGTATCATAGTCGAGGAGATGAACCCTACAACAACAACAAAAAAACAAGAGCTTCTTTCTTTCAACCACCTGTGATATAATGGTCACGTTTAACAATCCAATCAGTTACAGACGGATAAAACTTAACGGATAAAACAAGTCCAGACCATTTATTTTCTCATTGAATATACAGTTTCACTTGGAAACATATCACATTATGTTTAAAATATGTTACGAAAGTTAAAGTTAATTTGCTATACTGTACGGCTGAATTTTGGAGAAAATTAACCATGGAAAAAAAAAGTGTAATAACCATTTTTTTTGGCTTTGATTGATTGCCATTTGTATAACCACAGTTCACACAGAGAGGAAAAGAGAGAAAATTATATCATTTG